ACCATGAGCATGTGGCAGATGGCACCACCTAGCTGGTGAGGCCGTGCTGGCAGGGTCTCTGGCCTCTATGCAGTGTTGGTGATTAATGCTGGGTTGTGGTAACATTTAAGTAGGGATACCAAGTAGTTGATTTCAATCCTGAGCATGAATTGCACTGATCTTTTGAGTTCTGAAACTGTGAGGGAGGGCAACCCTGGAAGGGATTTGGGGAACTCTTAACAAAATCACAGAAGCTAATTATTGCCTAGCATACTGCTTTCTAGAGCTCCAAGCTGGGACAGGACACAAATATTGTTTCTTTAGTACACTAATGCCCTTACCAATAATACGGATTGTGCATTTTCCTTTCTGTAGGTGTTTCCTGTGCAGTATCTCAAGCCCAAAAAGATGAGCTGATCCTTGAAGGGAATGACATTGAATTGGTCTCCAATTCAGGTTTGTGAAAGTAAATGGGATGGGAAGATACAATGATGTGGCTGCTTTTATCTGAAGATGTCAGCTTAGCAAAATATCTTTCTTAAACCTTGAGGTAAACGACAGCTCAGAACTGTATTCATTGTAATTGCTTCAAGTCCACAGAAACTTGTGGGATTTTTTGAGTCAATCTTGATGGCTTTTTTGGTACCAAACTCTTCAGCTTTTCAGTTGTACAGGTGTGCAGTAGTAAACTGTCACTGCCCTCAGTTACAGCTGAGACAGGCTGAGTGCAATGTGTCATGTTGTCATTAGACTTGACAGGATTTCAGGTTGGTAATTCCTTTCTCCAGATGACAGTTTCATACATTAGTTGAAATACTGGAGAGCAAACAAATGAGTTGACGTTGACCTCTTTGTTTTGTGCACGTGCTCTTGCTTTGTGCACATGCTCTTGCTTTGTCTGCAGCTGCCCTGATCCAGCAAGCCACTACAGTCAAGAACAAGGATATCAGGAAATTCTTGGATGGTATCTATGTCTCCGAGAAAGGAACAGTACAGCAGGCAGATGAGTAAAACTCTTAATAGGTTGGTATCATTTTGACACAGTTTGTACATCTTTGTAGAAATAGTTACTTGACCTGGGGACTTGACAAGGTTTATCTGCTTCACAAAGCTGGGGTTAAGTGGGTTCCCAAGAGGGGTGTTGTTGTGCTTGTAAAGGGCATCAGCAGCAGTTTTATCGACGTAAATTTTGCTAGGTCTTCTGTTGGCAGCTTTCCATCTCTTGTCATGGGGTGCTTTTTACTGTGAGGTTGGTGAGGCACTGGCACGGGCTGCCCGGAGAAGCTGTGGCTGCCCTGTTCCTGGCAGTGTTCATGGCCAGGCTGGATGAGGCTTTGAGCAGCCTGGTCTAGTGGAAGATACCGCTTCCTGTGGCAGGGAGTGGGGTGATCTTTAAGGTCCCTTCCAACTCAAACCATTCGGTAATCTGATTTTATGATCAACTTGGCATTATGCTACTGGATGGAGAAATACCTGGCTCCAGACGGCTGTATTCTATGCTGTAAATGCCCGTTATGATGGGGCCTGAGAATTTAAACTCAGCATGACAAATGGGTTTACAGCTGTTTACAGAGCAGACTTTCTTAGGCTCGTATTCCTCCTGGTTGGATACTGCCTTCACTAAAAACAGTGTTCAGTGAGTAATTTACTTGTAAAGGTCTTCTGTGTAGTTTGTGTATAAATCCTTGTAAACAAAGGTCAGTTCAGAAAGGATTATTTATGCTGTGGGTGTACATTTGTTACTGAAGATGAGTACAAGGGGTTAGGGATGGCTTAAGAATTTCAACTGCTAAAGGAGTTTGATACATTTCAGCTATCTGTGGTTTCGTACATGGTGCAGAACACTTGTGTAGGATGAGACAGGCTGACTTTCAAATCAGTGTGTGCCTGTGTGCCTTCTGAACCTGAGCTTGTGACAGAGGATGCAGAGGAAGGGCATTGCATAAACTTTTTTAACACTTGCAAGCTACTAAAAAGATTATTTTTAGTGCTGTTCTGAGTTCCTCAAATGATAGAACAGCTTGTTACCTGCTTGCTAAACAGTCAGGAGCTGTTGTGTTTGAAGGCATCTTTAAGTAATCTCTGAATAAACTTCAGCAAATGCTTTGAGCCGTTAGTGTCTGTCTCGCATTAAAATGTATCAGGTAAATTGTCATATCTATAAACTTTCACATTTGCAGTGCTAAAACCTAAAGCTAAAATCTCTGAACTTTTTTGTTTGCAGTTACCTGGATCCTGAAACAAACCACCATGAGACATTGTATCAGGAAGTGCCAGCTTGAAGAATCTGATCCAAAACTCAAGCACCATGAGAGGTTTAATAAAATATAACGTATTTCATATCCTGGCCTCTCTCTTTTTCTTCTTTTTCTTTTCTGCCAAGAACTACAAGTGTGGACCCACAGTGTAAAATCAGGAAGGGGTAGTTTTAAATCGAAGCTTTAAGAAATAACGAAAGCTTTGTTCTCACAGAAGGGAACTAGAGTTCTTTCATATCCTTTCAGAGCCTCAGCCTGCAAAAATGATTTCCCTGTACAATTTCTGGAGGGGAGTTCAGCCTTGAGATGACAATCTGAAGTAGATAAAAACGAAAGCTGGGGTCAGTAGAACAAGGTTTATAAGGCCGTTTAAATTGATACAGAATACAAGAAGTAGTATGAAAATACGATGCCTTAGCATTTTGCTCAGCTAAGGAAACCAAGTGCTTGACATCAGAGTGCAGGCAGAGCTTAGTGCTGAGTTTCGCCACCTGGGTCATCTTGGGGATAGAGCTCTGTTTATTTCTTGGTTACTGATCTTGTGTAGCAACATGTAATTGGAGTGTTGTGTGATTTTTGTGCCACAGTAGAATCTACGTTGTTACTTGTTGAATTCCATTTTGAAAAAAAGGGTCACACAAAATGCTGGGATGGTGCAGAAACCTACTTGGCAACAAGTAGCTAAAGCTTACTATTGAGGAAAGCACCTAGGTGTGCCTAAAATTCACACAATTTCCCAAAGCACCCACTTGTGTGATTCTGCAGAGTTTGATAAATGGAAATGCTAAAGGAGTCTTCTAAAATTCTGTGGGCTCCCACAGCACACTTGGAATTGAAGAGTTTTCCTGTCAATGTAGTATGCTGAGAAGGGGACAAAAACCAAACCCAAATGTTAATAAAACATTGTATCACCTGCAGACTTTCTGGTAGTAGGTTCAGATTTCAAATTATTAATCTGTCAAAAAGTGTAATTGCATCTAAAATTCTTACGTTTACTGCTTTTAATAATTCCCAGCTTCAGGCTGATCTAGTCAGTGTCTTTGGGTGATGTCTTCTGACAACTGTGCTGTTCTGTGCCAGTAGAGTGCCTCATTGTTATATTAGTACTTACCTTTTGAATTAGTGAACGTTCTGTGATGTTGACAAGCATCTGAAATATAGTGGAGAAATAATCTCCTACATTTATGAACTGAAACTCAAGATTGAGGCAAGTATTGGGAGTTTGGGGGTCAGTCAATTCAGTCATCTGTCCTCAAAGTAGCACTTCCACAAAGCCCCTAGTAGCCTGTTACGAAGTGGCTGTAATACTATCATTTACATCATTGTTTACTTTATCATCATAGCCATTTACCTTCCGTTTGATGCTATCTTGCATGTTCAGATGCAGTTGCAAGAGGCAGTGTGTTTACGTGCCTTATCTCTTCAGAGGTGCTGGGGTACAGCATGAAGTATGTCCATGTGTTCTGGGAACCATAAGACTGAGGTAACTAGCTTCTAGTGGGAGCTGGTTGGGGGTTGCATTGTGTCTTGAAAATGGTACTAGCCACTGGAAAAGAAGGTTATGAGGCAGAGGAGGGCAGTGGGAATTCAACTGATAACCAATTCTTGCGTCTCTTTGAGTTTCTGGCGCAGCTTCACTACCCCTCTCCAGAGGTGTGTGGTACCTGCCTGGGAAGTGGTCTGAAAAGGCCAATGTGAATTTTGAATTATGGTGCAGTTCACAGGGAAAAATGGGTTGGGCTCATTTTGAGATAACCAAAACCAGACCTAGGGAAACCTCTGGGTTTCATCCCTGAAAAGTCTTATGTGAGAGAGGTTCATTTACCCTTTAAGAACATTATGCTTAGGTTGGTAGCTTTTGCTTAATGCAGCCATAGCAATAAACTCATGGTTTTAGCCCACCTATGGCTTGCACTGGCAGTTGACCAGATCTAAAGTGAGAATATATATTTATTTCTCTGAAAAAGTCAAATTTAGAAGTACATTAATCATTCCCATGAGTAGATTAATAGTTACTATTCATCTTCATTGTCTCTGCTAGTAAAAAATTTTATGGCTGCCTCATTTTGGAGATGAAAAATAGTGATTGGATTATTTCGACTTGTCCCCTGTGGATCCAATTACGTTTGCTTAAAATGTTAGTATCTGATCTCTAGTTCACCCAGTATGTCAGAGATACAGGTATGGTGGTTGATAATGGAGCTAACTTGATTTTGTTCTTTTAGAGGTGTTGTCAGAAGCTGGCCCAGGACATTTCGCTCTTGCTGCTGCAGTTAGCTGAACATTTGTGAGCTTTAATAACGCTTTTATTTGTAAACCTGAACAACTGCAGTTTCATGCTCAACAACATTTATCACATGAATACACATCACAGTGCACTTTAGTCCAGAGGCTCATAGAAAGGTGCGTATCAGTTCTCACAGCTTAGTATCTCTTTTCAAGTCAAACTGTTTGACTTGTTATTCTAAGGTACAGGCAATCATAAAATGCTCTTCTTCCCTCTTTCACATAGAAAAAATTATCTTCTGTGTAGAGTAGGTGGGTAAAGGGAATTTCACCAGAAACAAATGTCATCACAGGACTTCCTCCTGTGTGCACAGTTACTTTCTGGTTTTGAACAAAATGCTTGGTGTGTATGACTGGAGTGACTCATGAGGTGTTTTTCCATAATTGTCTGATCTGCATTGTCCTCTGTAGAATGCAAACAGTGACAGATCTCACTGACGGGGGGCTTGTGTCCTCTTTTTATAATGAAACACAGATTCACCAGATGGTTTTTGCTTTAAAACGCTTTCTTCTTTTTCTTTTGTGAAAAAAAATAATGGTTAAAAGCAAGATAAGGGTAGAGAAAAGGCAGCAGGTAAAGAATATTAATGGCTTCTTCTGAGAGATGAACAAGCAGAAGCTACACTGCTTTTCTTGTCTGGAAGGGTCACAGGCTGAAAACCGCAGGTCAGCAGGAAAGCCATTGTTGCTTATAAGGTTATTGTAGAATTTTATTGAAGGCTTCCCCTTTGAATCTGAAGTGAAGAATCCAAATCTGGGTTTAGATTTTTCTTCAGTCATCTTAAATGCATAGTAGCCTTTAATCTTGACTTTATCGATGTAGTATGCTGAGAAGGGGAACAAAAAACCAAACCCAAATGTTAATAAAACATTGTATCACCTACAAACTTTCTGGTAGTAGGGTCAGATTTCAAATTATTAATCTATTGATTAAAGAAGTGTAATTGCATCTAAAATTACTTACGTTTACTGCTTTTAATAATTCCCAGCTGTCTTAAGTAGAAACAGTGCATCACTGTTTTGGGGAATTTTCTGGACCTACTCTGTGAAAGCTGGATTTGAACAGGGCAAGAGCCTGGGAGCTTGCTTGCCTGGGGAAAGCCGGATGCTGTTCTTTGTGGAATCCAGCAGAATCTGCAGTGACTCAAGGGGAGCAGGTCCTCATCTGTGCCATGAGAGGAGCTTTCTGAAAATTCCCACCCTGCTCCAAACTCAGTACACAGCTGCATGTTAGACTGCTGCACCTGAGTGTTGGGTGAAAATAATGACATCAAATAGCAGTCCTTGGTGAGTAAACATCTCTCCAGTTCATGGGTAAGCAGAGAGCACTGTCAGGGATGTGACCCAGATTAAGCAAGAGCATTGTAAACTGGGGGATCATTTTGTGAGTGCTGTGAAGTGTCAGTATTAAATGAGAGTACTGTGATGAAGAGCCCTTTAAACAACCTTTAATAACTTACTTCCTCTAATAACCTACTGTTCCTTAGTTTGCAATGTGAAATTAGCATGGAAAATAAATCAGTAGATGCTCATTAGTCCTACACTAATTGAGAAAGAGCTAAGCACTGGAGGAACAAGAAGAAATGCTGTTTCTTCTTGGTGTCAGAAGGTAATCTGAAGCCATGTTTAGCTATGAGTATGACCTGTCTCATTTTTTACACAGCTAGCTCCTAGACAGGAGAAACCAGGATACATAGACTATGTATGTCTAGGGACAGGTGACACAGAAGAGCTTTTAGAGGCCCCATGTTCTGATCAGGGAAGTTGCTAGTGCTTACCAATAGGGAATAGTGAGTGCAGGGATATACTGTGTGTCTCATTTTGGCTGTGTGGTTCAGGTACCAAGGCCTTTCTGTATCCTGTGGCTCACTGCTTTCCTTTTAATGTTTGGTTGGAGGAAGTGGGATGGGAGGGGTGAGGTCCCTGCAGCATTCCTCATACAATGAGCAATTGCTGAAGATTATTGCCTTGAAAATTTTGTCCTCTATCTCCACAACTGTTACCAATTTTTCTCTAAAGCAAAGAACTGGATTTCTGTAGGTGCCCAGGGGAAAGCAAGCAGTGGAACAGGAGAGTTTGACTCTCCCCTCAACAGCAGCTCCTTCAAAATCTGGTGACCTCCTGTATTTATTCTGTATGTCCCTTCAGGTCTCTTTGGACTTGCTTGTGCTTCCCTGTCCAACAACTCTAGTTCAGCAAGCAATTAAGGAGACTTCCACCTTTCTTTGTAGAGTAGAAATCAGAATTATCTCTTAGGAATTATTGGTCTGATGTGCCACCTTACTAACTTCTGAGTAACTACCCTGCTCTATGTGCAAGTCCACGTGGATTCTCACATGATTTAAAGAGGATACAGCTGTGGCTGTATTTCACATAAGGAGCTTGATTCCATTGCTTTGTGTTGTATCTGCCCTGAGTGTGACTGTGGAATCGGGCCCCTCAGGGCTGAATGCCAGTGGCCAGTTTCTACATGTCAACCAGAGCTGCTTGCTCTGTCTGGGGCAAGTCTTAGGCGCTTGCTTAAGGAATGTCTGGGTCTGTGCCACAGAAATGGCTCTGGGGAACTTGAAGTTATCATATCCTCACCTTTTAAAACCTCTTGTACGTATTTTCCCAAGTAATAATTTCGCAGTTCATCATTGTCTAAGGACTGGTCATCTATTCCATTTGCTGTGATGTAAATATCGATGTTGCCATAGGTGTTTTTAATCCACCTGAGAACTTTGCGTAGTCCCCAAGGCACCACTGCCAGACGAGAAGGGGAGCTCAGGCAGGTGATATCCTGCAGAAATTGAATGTCACGATCAAATTCATACCGGCTCCCATTCTGAGGTTCGTGAACCACAAACCTGGTGGTGAAATGATTCAGGGCGTAGAAGTCCGCTGCACCTTTGATGAGCTGCTTTTCCTTGCTTGTGAAGGATGGCAACAAAGAGTATGAGAGGCCATTTCTGTTTTTAGAGCTGATGTATTCCCTCATAGTAGCTGGATAGTCCCCAGTTTTAAATATGGGGTTGGCAAACCAGCCTATTTCGAACTGAAGAAACCTGTTGGCAGCTTCTGAATGGGATTCAGAGTAGGGGTTGGCAGGCTCAGCCCAGTCCGAATGCAGGGACAGAGACACTTTGCCATACTGAAAGGACCGGTACTGCTCATCGTATATTCTCCAGGCCATGGCATGTGCTATTAGTAAATTGTGTGCTGCCCGGTATGTGTCATTGCTGCTCCTGTTGTAGACATCACTTAGCCGGTTAGGCTCATTTATTGTAATCCAGAGTTTAACCAAATCACCAAGTTCCTGAAAACACAGAGCTGCATAGTCTTGAAAAGCATAGGCAGTAGACTGGTTCAACCATCCTCCTGTCTGCAGCAATGGAGCTGGCAGGCCTAGGTAGGCATGAGTTGGATAATACAAGGTGACCATGGATTGAATGTTGAGTTTCAGTACTTCGCTAATCACGCATCTGTAATACCTAAGAACTTGCCTGTTGACCACTGACAAATCTCCATTGGGTAAAATGAGCGACCAGTCAAGTGCAAATCTGTAATGGGTGACTTTCATTTTTTCCAGGAGGTCAAGTTGCTTTTTAATACTGACAAAATCTGTGCACTGTGCTGGTCGTGTTTTTAGCTTCACCCCTTTAACTTTGTGTAGGAGCCCGTCTCCTGTGACGTTCCAGAGGTACAGGCTGGAATCACAGAACTGCGGTGAGGAAGCCACAGACTCTGCCTGTGAAAACAGCAATATGTTACAGCAGGGTTTAATTAAATAAATGCTTGCTTGTAATCTGCATTTCTGCCTGTGTTTGGCTATGGGATTAGTGCTGGATGTCAGAAGGTCCTGCTCAGATGCTCAGAGGGAATGAGGATAACCAACTTGCCTATATCAGCTTTGTCTGTGCTATTGGTTGTCTTACTTGTTCTGTTCCTTCATCTCCTGAAAATGTCACAATTGCACTCTTTTTTCAACTCCTTGCCACCAGCCTACATGACATGTATTTTCACACAGGTATATCTCCCTGATCGAGCTTACTCTGTGGTCATGCAAACAGCAGCTGGCAGGAGAGCAGGGTCGTAAGAACAAGTACCAGGGGTTATACAAGGCAGGCATGGATTATTTTGGCACTACTGGTGAGATCAACCTTGTGAAACTGTGGCATAGTGTTCCCTGGTCTTACTGGTAGTCTGTCTGCCTATGCAAATATCTGACATAAACAGCTTGTAGCATTTAGTCATATCTTTATTGTCTCCTAGTAGTTAACAAGGTTCTATGTAGCACATGATTTTTTTTTTATTCCAATGTGCTGATGTTGGTTATCTTTGTGGTATAAATCATTTTAAAGAATGGCTGTTACCCACTTGTGTAAGCAGCACCCAGAGCCAGGCTCAACCCAGGAATTTGTTTCTGCCTTGTCCATTAGCTTTAGACAGGACCTTGAGCCTGCAGGTATCTCTGCTGCCACCAGCATAACCGCCTTGTCCCTCCTCTATGCCACCCTCTCCATCACGCTGTCGTAGGCATTCCTATGGCCATGCTGCAACTGGATTGGGAAACTCCCCTGGTTGAAAAATAACCCAGGAACAATTGCTTGGGGTCATCTTCTTGATCTGATCTGATCTGCCGCATGGAGATGCAAACAGAGGGAAGGTGAGGGAGAGCCAGCCTTGGGAGGGCTCCTGCAGAGGTATTCTGCTGCAGGAGCATGCAGCACTCTGTGCCTAGCTCACCCCAAAGCCTGTGAAATACATAAAATTGAATCTATGCAATTATGGCTGGGCTTAACTCGTGTTTGCAGTGTGCACTGAGATTCCTGAACACCAGGGGCCATGCACAGTCATTCGTTCACACAGTAAAGCTGTTGATCATTCTGCCTCCAGCAGTCTTCCCAATATTTTACACTTACCTTGAGAACAGACTCGGTGATACCCCAGGAGAAGTCACATGAGAATTGAGCTTGCAAGCTTGGGGTAGACTCCCTTGGGAAGAAGCCATTTTCTTGTATGATTTGTTTATAATGAAGTGCAGATGACTTGGGAATCCTTTCCTTTTTTTCACTTTTGAAATCCACATAAAACAATCCGCGCCTGATGTTGTAAGCATGTTGCCATTCAAAGCCATCAAGGAGTGACCAGGCTGTGTAACCAAACACGTCTATGTTATCATATTTAATAGCTGTGTAAGAGAAAGTAACATTCATGAGTCATGTTTAATAACACACATAAGGGATATTTATGAGTTAGGCCTATTCACTTTGAAAATCTTGAGGGTTTTCTCAATGCTCATAGGATTATTGGTCCATTGTAACTCATTGCAAAACTGTGACAGACATTATCTATCTTAGTCTTTCTTAATTAAAAAAAAAACATGTGCATCTCTCGTTCCTTAAGAAATTAAATTACTATGGGATGCTGTATTTCTGCTCTGAGTAAACAGGAAACATTACACCGCATCCAGATTTTAAGATGTATTTAATGATTTGCAAGTAATATGTACCAATGACATTAGAGAATCATGATTAAAAGTGAGGGGTGCAAAAATTGATGTAGTTTATGGCTTTGAAGCTAAAACTCTCTACTTTTATTTGAAAGATATCTGCTGCTCTAACATCTCGGAGTGTCTATTCAGCTTCTAAATTGAAAAATTAAATGTGTCAGCAGGGACATGTAATGACTTTAGAAGAAGCTGGGCTCATCAACCCAGAGACTGCAGTGCTTGATTTATTCACAGATGGGTGCAGCACATGCATGTTTTTTCAGGCAATTTTAATGTCCTTCCACCTTCAAACGAGTATAAATACAACCTTTCACATACAATATATGAGAAACATAAGAAATGACTGTTTTCTTGGATGTGGAACCCAATTCTCCAGGAAGGACAACAGAACTTCCAAAGCAGCTTCTTGCTGGACACCAACTAACAACAACATTCATTACCCACTTACAGCGTGTGCCAGCTGGCAGCCTGGAAGAAAAAGTCCAAACTCCATGGTCAGTCATGTTAGCTGCCTGTCGCCAGCTTTAATCTAGGAAATAACACAGTGTAACTCCTCATGTTAACCTTATAAGGGCTGAAATACCAAGGGCAAAGCAATGACCAAGTGGGGTTACTGAGGATTTTGATGCAGACAGCACTATTTCACCTGTAGTCCACTGAGAGCAAGCCAAGGAATAAAGATGAAGTACTCTGATTTCAAGCTCTATTCTCGACCAGCATTGTTTTGCCTTATTTTCTCAGGACACTTAACAAGGAGCTGAAGGTAGTAGAGGTCAGGATTTAATTAAACTCCTGTGTCACCAGGGGTGAAATCCACAGAAGGATATCTCAAGGCATTTCTGCCTCTGCTTTAGGGGAAGCCTTGAAGTCCTTTTGCAAAAGTAATAGTTGCAGTATTGACAGGCATGTACATGCCACTAAGAACCTATAGTTTCAATTGCATTCCTATATCATAACTGAGGTGAGTTCATTGCAGTGGTGATGTTATACATCACACATTTTAATGACTCGCAATGCTGTGAGTTAAAGACATACAGAGCACAATTTACAGCATCTTCCTTGAACACAAACACAGAATACAGCTCCTTATAGCCTGTTACATGGTATCTTAACAGCCAAACCGTCCCATTGCAATTTAGCCTATATAAATGATGTTTTGAGGTTAACGTGATCTAATTGATTTGTTGCAAACAGCAAATTTATAACTGACTTCTCTATAAGAAAAAAAATGAAAATACATTGCAAATATTATTTCTGATCAGACAAATTGAAGTTTGCTTCATAAAAAAGTGGCGAAAGTTAAGAGAGAATCCTGTAGTCCATGGCAGACGTTGAAGTATCTGCATATGTAAAAATGTAGATAACAATTCTTGAGAAGCAGTTAAGGGTTGAACATAGACCAAGTATTTCAGAAGTGTGAATCCACAGATGGTTATTACAGCCAGGTCTGCTGTGGAGGATTCAAAAAGAACACACTATGGATTTTCTTACGTATGTGTCCGGACATCTACCTGTTCCACACCTCCAACCAGGCCTGCATCTAGACTTTGCTGCTGGGTCACTGCACTATCTAAAATATCATAAACCAAACACTGGAATGTAACCTCCTCAAAATCTGGAAAAGGCAGGGCATATCATGCAGTTGCACTATGTGAAGCTTACAATTTGAACCAACTTTTGGATAATCTTCATTTGGGGCTTAACTACATTTGTTGGTGATACAGTACTTCCTGACTTGGTGTCAAAGTAAGCCGTTACTTGTGTTTTTTCCTTTCTGAGCGTAAGAAAGGTTTCTGCAAAGGGATCTGAGCCACCTCATCCCAGCAGTGTGGCATCAAAGTGGGGCAGCCTGCTGGGAGGATGCTGATAGGGACCAGCACCCGTCCCTCTCCCATAACCACCAAACTGAGGGAGGGAAAGGAATACTGGTTTTGCAGAAGCTTTAGGCACCAACAGCATTTATATTTAATACAAAATTAAACCTTTTGCCTTCAGAGGGCACCCCTCTAGATGGCTGTATGAAGGGCAAATACCAAGATTAAAAGTGTGTTGCTAGAACTCCAGAAGAGTGGTTACCCTTCTCCTGCTGATTTCCCTCATGCATTTTACATTGGAGTAGTACCCCAGCGTGGCAATGACTGTCTGTAGTCACAGTCTCATTTCCCTGCTGTCAGTGTTTGCACATGCACAAAGGCTTTACGGTTGGGCTGCCAACACTGAAAACTGATATCCAATAGATTTGTTTTCATTAATTCCTTTCATTCTGACTCAGTTTTGTAGTTATTAGTTTTAAAATCCAACACAGATGTTGGACTTTAGCTTTCTGGGACAGAGAGTATGTTTTTTTTCTGTGTTTGTACATCTTGCACCAGGAGATCCTGATCCATGATTTGTACTCCTGCAGTATAAGTAATTAATAATTAACTTAATTGCCATTATCTATTAAAAAATAAATAATTACATTATCAAATGATCTTTAAGAGCTCTCCAAAAATCCAACAACTAACTAACTTGTGTACAAACCTTGTAAAACCTTATTAATGAAGTTTTTCATCATGTAGATGGCTGTGGTGTCATCTGTTTTCACATGGCTGTCAGTGAACCAGCCATTCTCTGCAATCAGGATTCGAGGGCTGTTGTATTCCAGTTTAATCCAGTTCAGTACTTCCCTCAAATTGAGTGACAAATGTTGTCCCATTTTTGGTAGAGTGTTTGGAGGTTTAAAGTTATTAGGACCGAAGGAAAATGCAAAGAAGTCAGCTGTTCCCTTTATGTAGTTCTTTTCATCCTCAGTAAAGTGTGGCAAAAATGAGAATTCACTTTTCAGTTCTTCTGGATAATCACCATCCCCATGGATGGGTTTAGCAAACCATCCGAGAACTCTGTCCATGGATTGCTGACATTTAGCAATGTCCAAAGCATCTTCTGATTTGTTAGGTTCAATCCAGTGGGATCCTAGTACTATGGACATCATCCCCTTCTGGTATGGTTGAAAGTGGGTTTTGTAGTTGTGCCAAACTTTTGCATGAGCCTGATGAGAGAAAAAACCAGCATTAAATCGTAACTCTCTGATAGACGTCTGTGTATGTTGGCAGCCAGACAGGCAGGGAGCTGCATCTGATTCACTGCGGACTGCTGTGGAAATATTAACAGCTAAGGCATGCTAGTTACCCTGCTCAGCTGTAATGGGCAATTACTGTGACACTGCAAGATATGTCAAGATGATGCAATGCTCAGTATCTCATGTGTGCTGTTCCTATGACACACGAGGGCTCTGGCTTTTTCCCTGTTAGCATGGGTCTAAATTTCATGAGATGTCCCAGCAGGGCTGTGAACAGCTGTTACACAGACACTTTGGGAATAAACAGCTGTTAATGGTGGGATTTGAACTCCATGATCCAGACATTCCCATCTAGGTCTTTGTCAGACAGTGATTGCTGATACAGTTAAAACCTTAAACCATTTTTACAACTGTTCCATAAATTATGCGTCTCAAATGATGTTTCCTTTGTCAGTGTTGGCTCTGCTCTATTCACTGCTCTGTGCTATGGGCATTACATGGATTTACTCTGATCAAACCACGTCCAGCCCATCCCTCTTCTTGGGATAATCACATGAGTACGTGTTCAATTTTTGATATTTGCACAGTCTCTAAACATAAAAATTTGCAGAAAGGACCCAACTGTGAAGTTTGAACCTAAATGTCAAGTTTCACAGTTCTGTGTGAGAATTTTGATCCAGGATTTTAGTTCATTTCTTCTCTGAAGCTGCTATAATAATTCTGACAGTACATGTAACAGCACAGAATGAAGCTTATTAAGTAGAGACCAACAACATTTTGGTTTTAAAAGGAAATTTGGCAGCAGTATCTCATAAGATCTATTTGGTATGGCCTATTTTAGTACTCAGAGTTAGCCAAATATTGACTGCACTAGGGCAGACAGAAGTTTTGCTATTGATGTTAGTGACAATGAAAGTATACCTTGTATCACATCTCACTTCCATGTTTCTGATTATCATCATGTTTTAGAAAGTTTAACGTTGTCACACACCAGAATTACCTTCAAATGTCATGTTGTTAATTACTTAAATACAAGACTACAACAGTCAAAATTTACACATAAAAAGGAATACCTGGGAAACTGAGGAACCACTAGCATTGTCAAAGTCCCACTGGAAAAGGGGAGAGCTATGGTGTCAGAGGAGGGTGATTCTGGATTACAGCATGAATCCTGCCAGGGGTCTGACACATGGGAGAGGGGCTGACCTCTCCTGTTCAAGGAGTTGTCAAGTAACTCAGGGTTTACCTTATTCCTGAAGTGTGGCTTTATACTCTTCAGCTGGACAGAAAATAACTGTTTGCACCCAGAAGAAACATTGAGAAGCATTGTGAAATACTCAGAGTGCCGAGTTAGGCTGCCATCATTACCAAACCAAACAGCATTGCTTACCTTTGACAATAATTTGAGTTAATTTATCTAGAAACACACAGCCTTGACAGTTTAAAACAACAGAAGACCTGATGTCAGGTAGATATTTGGCTAACCTGGCGAGTACCAAAGAATTACAGTTTGTGAAATTTTGTGTATCTGTTGTTTATGGTTTCTAAGGTCATGCTCGTAACATTTGTTCAAGGTCTGTCTTTGAAAATACTGATAAAGCAACATTAACCTTTGAAATGCAGGTTCTGCAGCTGAAAAGGGAAGTCAGCAAAATTGTACTCATGAGGCAAACTGCAAGATACAGTCAAAATATTACAAAATTGATTTATTTCTTATCAGGCTCATCAGAAAATTTCAGTGGCCAGTGCCATCTCTTCTTACCCTCACTGCCCTCTCCCAGAGGTCCTCCAGCCTGGGGTGGCTGCTGGAGCCAGGCTTGCTTTGTTCTCTGCCCCTAGTGATTTCCTAACTAGTTTGTATTTCATACCCTTCAGACACAGTCTACTAACAGCACTGTTGAATCACAGGTACGTGGCTGCATTGGCTTAACAAGAAAAAACCTGCTGAAGGCAGCTATATCATGTACAGTGCCAAGCAGCATGACAATAGCACCAGGTAAATCTTAGTAATTGTACATTTCTAGGCAAAGCGGAGAAAGAGGACTTTGCCAAAATCCAACTAATTAGAATGCAACACTGACATGTAAAAGACAATCAGGGACAACTCACTGTATTTGTAGGCATCTTTGGGAGGTAGATAAGGAGAAAGTAAACTTACTATTAAAAATATTGTCTACAGTACAGAATACCGCCACAAGTATAATTCTACAGGAGTAGATATCAAGTACAAATAAATACATGTAATATGAGTCAAGATAGGATCCCCATACACAAACTCACCTGCGTCACTAATGTCTCTTAGTACTGAGGGTTAACTCTACTGGAAAAAACTTGCTCTATAGTAAGGGTTTTTACAGACATAGTAGAGACAAAAGCATGTGCTTGACTAGAATTCTGTTTTGAGATTTAGACTCTGTAAAGCAGCTTAACATCCTCAGATGGAAAGTGTTTGCTAAGTGCAAACTATTGTTGATAGAACCAACTGATTAATATAACTTGTTTTGTAAGACCACATACGAAACAAACATCAATTTAAAGGCTGTATCATACATCAAATTGGCTATTTTAAGTAAATCTTGACTAATCTTTTTTCAGTTAGAGTTTAATCCCTAATCTTTCACTTTCATTGTTAGATCAAGGACAAATGTCAAGGCTAAGTACACAGTGAAAGCAGGATCAATATTGTGTGTTTATTCTAGATACATATGACATTAATTTCAGCATATTTTCCTGGTATCAATATAGAAATTATTGTATAGACTTGAAAGTCAGAGAGTGGTAAGTTGGTTACTATTAACCCAGTAAAAAGGTTAGATAAGTAAATTTAATAAGATTAGGGCAACAGTATTGTTCTCTTCTTGAAATATTCTTATGCTCCTTCAAACTCTGATCCTGTAATTTATCATGTATGTACACAAAGAGCTTACTACTGAAAAGACCAATATTTTCCAATTCTTAAGATGTGTTAAAGTCAAGCAATTTTCCTTGAATATCTCAGCAATGAGCCCACCAAACAATGTCAGGGGTATGTGGAGTTGTTTGAGTGTGCAGGAGAGCAAGACATTTAGGAAAACTAGAATTATGAAAATGCTCATAAAATGATTCTGGCTTTGTGTTTAATTGTTTTGTTCTTTAAACCATGAAGAGCCAGAACACAGAGTCTGAACAGGCGGTGTTAAACACTTTAAAAGGCAGGCAGGTGTGTGTGGCTTATTTGGAAAGCATATTTCAGTTCAAGGCCCTGTTGATCTGTGGTAAAGATGACATGTAGTTGGTAAAGCTGAAGCCCTTATTTTGGAAACTGACTTTGAATCTCAATCCTTGTGAAGGAAGAAAGGGCTGTTGCAATGTAGGCAACTAAATTTCTAAGAGGGTGCTTTGAAAGTCTGCCTTTACTTAGGATTTACTAAGAAACTTTTTGTGTGCTGTCTTGATTTGGGTTATGTTTTAAATGATAATTTCCAAGAAGTGTAAAAAAGATAATCTGCAAACAACAAATCATATAAAAAAAAGTACGAATCAGTGCTGAATTTTACACCTCTGATGGCTACTACTGCTTTCTGAAAAATCTCCCAGCAAAGACTTTTACAGGCATAGACAATTCTGCCTAGGAATTTGATGGAGATAGATTTCCCTCTTCCTGTAAGAAATACAGGCATTGGTGTAGCTTCATCTAAATCCTGAGGAAAGGAGGCCCCTTTGGAGGATGGGAAGAAAGTGTCTGGTTGGATGTAGAGATTAAAATTACTCCACAGTCATTCAGCAGAAACTGTTTTTTAACAAGAATCAATCATAGGACTTCTATGGGACATGCTCATCCAAAGATCCCAAAGGCAGCAGTGTCCACAAAGAGATCCTGGCATAGTGAGAGCTACTGAAGAGCTGGGAGTAATGCAGCTGGGCACAGAGGTGAACCTGATCTGTGACAGATCTATGTAGAGGCATCGTGTTTGAAAGGGAATTTATCACCTTTTCCCAGTATTTGATATGAAAGCGTGTCCACGTGGAAAACTGTTAGGGAGATCTTATTCTGTCAGTTTTCCTTTGGGCTTTTCTGACAGGTGGAAAGGAGTGTGAATGACCTTTAACAGGGGTCAGGGGAGAAGCCCCATTCTGCCTGTTTTGTAGCAAAGGAAGAACTGCCTGGAAGGTACTGATACAGAGGATGAAAAGAAGACACCTTGGTGTGCAGTTTGTGATCTTTACAAACCTCAACCTAAGTATAAAAGAACATAACTAGATTGAGAGAAAATGGCAATAATGTATCAGGCATGTATCTCATTTAGTTCCAGCCACAGTGATTTATCTGCTTTATATTTTCTTGCTTCTTGTCCGTTTTATTTACTGTTAAATCAAAGAACTCAATCTAACTTTCCTGCGTGCAGTTTTTTCTTCTCTGCCTCAGGAGCAAGTTCATAGTTTTTGTATCTTCTTTGATGTGTCCTTCAAATGTTGCACAGAAAGTTACATGTTATCATTGTTTTCCCATGTTGCTTTCACGAAGTACAGCCTCCTTTAATGGAGAAAGGAGATGATACACTTTTGATGGCCACTCTCCATCTGGTCTGAGGTTTCACATGCTCCCCATGTTAGTGGTAATGATCGCACAGGTAAACAGAGATTTGTCTAGGTGAACCCCTTAGCAATTTATAATTGATAAGCATCAGGCTTCAGAATTCATTTCCATGGAAGCAGTGTAAGGTCCTTCAAAACGATCAGTAGCAACTATTACCCTCTGTGTATGGCCAGCATATAGAGTAACGGGCAAATGAGTTTTTTTAATTGAAATGTTGAGTTCTTCTTCTGTGGATTGTTTCCTCTGCATGGATCTCCCGAGCACACTGCTTAGCAGCCTTTGCTTCTGTATTCACTAGCTGCTCGGTCAAACAGACACCAGATAGTGACTGCTCTGTAAAGTACTTTTTAGTGCTACAGATGGAAAAATATGGTGTGGTGCCATTGTTAATTCTTACCTTAAACTGCTCTTATTGGAAATTGTTTTAAATTATAGCAGGAGAAAATAGGAATATAAGCTCCTATGCCTAGGAACTAGCTACTCTGTAGAACGAAATCTATAATCTATCAGAGAAGATGCTGTAATGCTGCAATAACACTGTTGAGAATACCAGGAACAAAATCTGTGCTTTTCCCTTAAAAAATAAGACTCACTTCAGGTTTCTTTTTTTGTCCTCAAAGAAATAGTACCATGAGTTTAGGACCCAGTGCTGCAGCTGTTGAAGCTACTGATCATGGGATTAAGCCTTCAGGTTGTGTAATTCTGTAGAAGACAGCTGATCAATAAGACTTAAAAATTAAAATGCTAAAACCATCATGTAAATAATATAATTTTGCAACTCTCAAATACAGAAGAGAACATCTGTGTACCCAACTACAGACCTTGCTAGTTTAGCAATGAACATTTTGCAATAGGATCTTACTAAACTAGGATTAGTCATATTTATATATACATACTCTGTTGCAAGTAGAATGGATCCAATATGCAATAAATTTCATTTTAAACTAATAGAATAGTCATTTCAGTGTAGCCAAATGAGTGGTCATGTCAGTGTGTTTCAGTAAGTGGAAAGAATAAAGTAGGAGTATCATGCTCTTTAACAGCCAGATTGTGTAGGCAAAACTTAATGAAATAATAAATAGGCATTTTAAAGCAAGTAATTGCTGAGTCAGCTGTTATGACAACAACGAAATCAACATGAAGATTAAAAAAGACTGCCATAGCCAAGGGTTATTTCTTGTTGTTTTCACAGACCTTGATACTTATTTTAAACACTGACCACATGATTGATTGCTCCCATCATTTCCCATGGTGGTGCACGATCACTTTGTAAAATTTTACTATACTGTACCTTGATCAAATTGTGTCCTACAGAGTAGACGGTGGCTATTTTCCCTTTCTCTCCAGGAGCATGAATACCTGTGCCGTACCCATGCCAAGCAACTAAATATGGATTGTGGATTGTAATCCAATACTTAACACGATCCCCAAAGGTCTGGAAGCAAAAGGTGGCATAGTCATTGAAGATATCAATTAGTGATTCATTTTTCCATCCCCCGTATTTTTCCTGCAGCGTTAAGGGCAGGTCCCAGTGGTACAGCGTAACCACAGGGTCAATGTTTCTGTAGAGTAGAGAGTCAATAAGGGTGTTATAATACCGGAGTCCTTTTTCATTGGGAGCTGCTACCACTCCAGTGGGAAAAAGCCTTGACCATGAAATTGAAAACTGGTAAAAAGTAACACCCAAAAAATCCAGAGCAGACAAGTCTTTGTCCAACAAGGTGTAACTGTCACCGGAGGCATCTGTGCTGTTAGCAGCCCTGAACTCTGAGTAGATGAAGTGGTCCCAGATGGAGGAGCCTTTCCCGTCCTTCCTCCAGCTGCCTTCAACCTGGAAAGACCCCGTCCCTACACCCCAGAGAAACTCTTTGGGGAAAGTGTCATACAAAAACATCTGTGTTTCACTCACAGGGCTGAAGTTGGGGTCCTTTTTCCACACAGATCTTCCCTCTCCAGAAAGCCCAGTAACTATCCTTATGAAAACTAACGTCCAAAAACCAATGAATCTCTCCAGTCGCTGACTGCTCATTATGCTGGTTTATAGAGCCAGTGTTAAAAGTGAGATTTCTTGTACTGCTGCTGAAAAAATCCCATTCATTCGCTGGAGTCCCCAGTGTGCAGACTGTCTTCATTTGCCATGAACTGCCAGAGTGTCTTATCAAAGCTTCACTAAAAGCCTGTGATTGTAACAGCCCTGTCAATGATTAGCCTGAACTGTGAGACCTAGAATAGGTCAGAGAACGGCGTAATTTTTAGGGAGGTGGCCTCTGTATGCCCACTGAGACACCTATCTGTCTTCTTACTGCAGGAAAATATGTTGCCAGAACAATATAAATGCTAGTAACTAATTTAGCATTATTTAAAGCTCATTTATTCAGGTGGGAGAATATAGGTGATAGAGGCTGCTGACAAGCTATTATATCTTTATTCATCATACAGCTGTATTTTGAGGAAACACAGCACAAATACAATTCAGACAACGTAGTCTCCCATTAAGAGGTGATTTATCCCAGGTGTGTAACTGGGTGGGTGTCTGGAAGGGAAGTACATCATTCCTCAGTCCTGCTTTGCTCGAACGTCCTATTTCTGCTGAAAAATTCTCCCTGGACACATGGGAAATTTTGCTGTGGACAAGAGATACATGTACATCCCACTAACTACATGAAACCACAAAGCAAGTCAATATTTCTTTCAAACACATGCAACTGTTCTTCCATCCTGTATAAAAGTCTACTGTTCAGCTCTATGTACAGCAGCAGTACACCATTAAAGGTGTCTGCTCCAGTCCTTAAGCAATTTCCCTAGATTTCTTTAAATAAACACAGTTAGCAAAAATAATGAGCCCTGAAAGATGCTATTTCAGTATTGATCAATTTAACAATCCTGGTATACACAGCTGGGCCATCAGTACAGCAAGTATCTTACAGAGCAATATAATTTAATGCAATATAATTTAATCTTTTAACATATTTCAAATTACAGCAAAACTACCTGTACTGAGATATAGTCAATTCACTCAGTACAGTAAGACTGATGCCTCCTATTTTTGCTTTTCTTGAGGTACACTAACATAAGGTGTATCCACAGGTAGACCACAGCTGCTGAAGAGATTTGTGGAACAAGACAGCAGTGTGAAGTAACTTTGTGTTCAAGAAAGATATGCATGTAAATCTGAAATTTGAACATGGGAACAACTTAGAATAGAATCATAGAATCACAGAATAGTTAGGGTTGGAAATGACCTTAAGATCATCTAGTTCCAACCCCCCTGCCGTGGGCAGGGACACCTCACACTAAACCATCTCACCCAAGGCTCTGTCCAACCTGGCCTTGAACACTGCCAGGGATGGAGCATTCACAACCTCCCTGGGCAACCCATTCCAGTGCCTCACCACCCTAACAGGAAAGAATTTCCTCCCTATATCCAATATAAACTTCCCCTGTTTAAGTTTTAACCCGTTACCCCTTGTCCTGTCACTACAGCCCCTAATGAAGAGTCCCTCCCCAGCATCTCTGTCGGCCCCCTTCAGATACTGAAAGGCTGCTATGAGGTCTCCACGCAGCCTTCTCTTCTCCAGGCTGAACAGCTCCAACTTCCTCAGCCTGTCTTCATACAAGAGGTGCTCCAGTCCCCTGATCATCCTCGTGGCCCTCCTCTGGACTTGTTCCAACAGTTCCATGTCCTGTTTATGTTGAGGACACCAGAACTGCACACAATACTCCAAGTGAGGTCTCACAGGAGCAGAGTAGCGGGGCAGGATCACCTCCTTTGACCTGCTGGTCACGCTCCTTTTGATGCAGCCCAGGATACAGTTGGCTTTCTGGGCTGCAAGCACACACTGCTGGCCCATGTTCATTTTCTCATCAACCAACACCCGCAAGTCCTTCTCCAGAGGGCTGCTCTGAATCTCTTCTCTGCCCAACCTGTAGCTGTGCCTGGGATTGCTCTGACCCAGGTGTAGGACCTTGCACTTGTCATGGTTAAACTTCATGAGTTTGGCATCAGCCCACCTCACAAGCGTGTCAAGGTCCCTCTGGATGGCATTCCTTCCCTCCAGGTATCAACTGAACCACACAGCTTGGTGTCATCGGCAAACTTGCTGAGGGTGCACTCAATCCCACTGTCCATGTCAGCGAGAAGATGTTGAATGAGACCACTCCCAACACCGATCCCTGAGGGACACCACTTGTTACTGGTCTCCAGCTGGACATTGAGCCATTGACCACAACTCTTTGCATGCAGCTATCCAGCCAGTTCTTTATCCATCGAGTGGTCCATCCATCCAATTGATGTCTCTCCAATTTAGAGACAAGGATGTCGTGTGGGACAGGGTCGAACGCTTTGCACAAGTCCATGTAGATGACATCAACTGCTCTACCCCTGTCCATCAGTTCTGTAGCCCCATCATAGAAGGCCACCAAATTGGTCAGGCAGGATTTCCCCTTAGTGAAGCCATGCTGGCTGTCACCAAGCACCTTGTTGATTTTCATGTGCCTTAGCATGCCTTTCAGGAGAATCTGCTCCAAGATTTTGCCAGGCACAGAGGTGAGACTGACTGGTCTGTAATTCCCCGGGTCATCCATTTTCCACTTCCAGAAAATGGGGGTTATATTTCCCTTTTTCCAGTCATTGGGAACTTCACCTGACTGCCATGATTTCTCAAATATGATGGCCAGCGGCTTCGCAACTTCATTCGCCAGCTCCTTCAGGACCCGCGGATGGATCTCATCAGGATCCATGGACTTGTGCACGTTCAGATTTTTAAGATGGTCTCGAACCAGTTCCTCTACTACAGTGGGCCCAAGGTCTTCATTCTCACAGTCCCTGCGTCTGCCTTCCAAGACTTGGGTGGTGCGGTCAGAGCCTTTGCCAGTGAAGACCGAGGCAAAGAAGTCATTCAGAACCTCAGCCTTCTCCAAATCCTGTGTAGCCAGGTCTTCCGAGAGCTTCTTGAGGGGGCCTACATTCTCCCTAGTCTGTTTTTTATTCAGTACATACCTATAGAATCCCTTCCTGTTATCCTTAACATCCCTAGCCAAGTTTAATTCTAACCGGGCCTTAGCTTTCCTAACCTGGTCCCTGGTTTCCCAGACAACATCCCTGTACTCTTCCCAGGCCGCCTGTCCTTGCTTCCACCTTTTATAAGCCTCTTTTTTCCTTTGAATTTTCCTCAGCAGTTCCTTATCCACCCAAGGAGGTCTCCTGGCCCTCCTGCTGCACTTCCTTCTGGTTGGGATGCAACACTCCTGAGCTTGTAGCAGGTGATCCTTGAATATCAGCCAAGAGTCTTGGGGCCCCCTGCCCTCTAAGGCTATATCCCATGGAACCTTACTAAGCAGGTTCCTGAAGAGGCCAAAGTCTGCTCTTTTGAAGTCCAGGGCAGTGAGCTTGCTGCACGCTCTTCTCACTGTCACTTATCTAAGTATCACCCTCTGCTTTGATGAATTAGCCCTGCTGGCATGTAAGACATGGAAGTCCAGATGGACGGCTGGGCTACTGCCACTTTACTGCTCTTTCTACCTGTGAGAGCATGCCTGCAGCATTTCATAATGTAATAGAGACATACTTTAGTTTAACAACAAAGCTGATTAATCAGTTGAAGACAGAAGACATTTTGTTTTTATAATAAACAACAAAACCACAATGCATGTGCATAACCATTTCTCTGCAGCACCTTTACAAGAAACAGTTTAACCATAGAGGAATGCTCCCACTGATGTCTTCTGCACTGCAAGATTCCTGCTGGTGGGGTAGCCGTGCATCTAACCTGAGTCTCTCTCACATAACAAACACAGCATTCCCTCAACTACCTGAAGTAACCGGTCCACACTTCTCAGCCAAGATCCCACCAAAGGCAGCTTGGGAAAGAGAGGAGTAGATAGGGACTGTACCAAGTTGGTCTGCAGTATATACTGACATGCTCCTTTTCTATTCTGTGGAATAGCATTTGAAATGCTAATCTGGATAGTTATTGCATGAAGATAATCTATTTTAACACTTAAAAGCTTTGATTGTATGTATGGTACTTTATGAAAGAAAACTCAAATACAAGTCATTATGGATGTCACTGTACTTCTAAAGCAGTTAGTTACCATGATTATCAGATGCTTATATTCAAAACGCTCATGACAGCTCTGTAATACCATGCAATGCCTTGGCAAGGTAAAGTGAACAGGCTTCTCCCCACTAACTATGGCAGAGTTAGTACCACTGGCATCTTACTGCAGACAATGTATTGCATCTGCATGAGATGTGAAAGGTGCAGCAGTGACTTGTGCTCCCAGACACTTGATATGGACAATGTTATGAACTGTATTTCTTCCCTTATTATTTATAAGAGTGGGAGCATATTATAATCAAGGTTCAAAAACGTTTCAGTTTTTCAGGCCTCTGAATCCAGTTTCTTACTGCCTTGTCATACTTAAGTGTTTGGGCTATGTTACTTGATAAAGTTAAAGAGGAAGCAATTTAACTGAGTCATGTAGTGACTTAAATTCAGAAGGAGGTTTTGATTAGCTGAGCTGAGTTGGGGAAAGGAAAGACTCTGACTCCTAATCTAGAAAACAATTATCACAGATGAGGGAGATGTGACCAAGGACTGTTGAAAAGTGAGTGTGCAGAGAGAGGGGGAAGAGGAAGGAATTAATTATTCCACTAGCTCAAAGGGCAGTCAGCAGAGGCTCCATCCAATGCTGTATGTGGCTGTCAGTACAGTGATGCACAGTGCAATTTCCTGTCTCTGGCCATGCACTTAATGAATCTGGTTTCAGAATGCCTCAAATGTGGGAGAGGCTGAGGTCTCTAGGCAACCGCCATTACTGCTACTGCAGTTGGGAAGTCTAATGACTATTCAGTTTGATTCTCAGCTATCAAATTTCCTTTTCTTTGTCTCTGCCAAGGCAAGCGATTCAAATTTTAAACACAACTCTTAACACTGAATATGTATTCTCCTTGGTTTAGGGGCTCAGCCTGAAAGCCTGGGGTTTGATCTGCAGAAATGCTGAACACATTAGTCAACAGGAGTTTTGAATGGATGCAATGTCAGGCCAAGTAGACAAGTTAAGCCACATTCATTCTGCCTCGATATGTAAATGAAGAGAGAGAAAAGACCTAAAGACAAAGTTCACTTAG